ACAGTACACATAGAATAGGGATGAAATATGTTATCCTACCTTACATACAGATGCAGGTTCATATGTTTAAAATACCTATTTTTTTTTCTCATTTGGAACAACCATATTAATTTACTTGGCAAAAAAACACTCAATTAAACAGACATAATACTGATGAAAATTACCATGTAAATGTCTACAGCTTACCAACTATCCTGTTACATGTTTTGATGTATTGAAATACACCGTGGTGACGGCTTCAAAGAGTAAACTGAAAAGTTACACTAACATATTGTACACACACACCTAAGTAATGAAAGAAGGAAGATCCATCTTCAACAAATACTTGGACTACCAAGTTTCTTAGTTCAAAAATATATAATTCTTGAACCTGGAATATTTAATATCATAAACATACTGTTTATCATTCTACTTGCTTTTTCTCAAAATATCTACTCTTCATAGAACATTTTATATAATCAAGCAATATAGCCTACTTACTGTAGTTGCTGATAAACGACGTGGTTCTGTTACGCCAATCTGTTTTCCATTACTGGACCACCCAGCTTCCAACAGGTACTATTAAGGATATTCGAAAATCATTACTTGAACTTAAAATTCTTGTGAAAGATACTAAGGCTGAAAAAAAAAACACATTAATTCTTGATGTAGAAATTACTTACAATCTTCTTTCTGGCTATGGACCTGGGAACAAATGTAGTAACTGTAAATGATTTATTCCAAATAATAATACAAACACCTCATAGAAAATAGCCACATTGCACGAAAAAGTTTAGTGTACATATAATATTTGTTACGTGTAAATATTCTATACAACATGATGGCATTTGATAAAAAAAAGTAAAACATCAAACCAGGCAAATCAATTTCATAAATTTGGTCTACAATAAAAAAGTGGTGTAGAACAGTGGTTTCCAACTGAGAACCAGCTAGTTATGATTTCCAAGTTTCATAGATTGCTTCTTTCAATATTAAATTTTTTAAGTTCTTATAAACTAAAGTGTAAAACATTATACAACAGTAACAATATCTTAAAAACAAACACTAACTGTCTTGTAGACTGGCCAAACTCTCCATATGGACCAGTACTGGTCCACAAACTGGTGGATGGGAACCACCTGTGTAGAATATGTGAAAATGATAATCCTACTAAAAATAAAAACTACAAGAACACGTGGATGGTTGCAGGAAAAAACATTCTTCTCATATTGAAAAAAGTGAGAACTAAAATTCAAAACTCAGTACAATTACCAATGAAAAAACTTTCCACATGTTTGAGAGCATGGGGCAAGTAGAAAACGAGTTCAAAGGATCTCATGACCACTAAAACTGGGGCCAGTGACCTACAGTAAGCAGAGTTACAGATCTCCATACAAGGACAACTCACAATGACTTAGAAACTAGACAAGAAAGGGTATTCAAAACTCTGTAAGCATTATAAAAAACAGAGGAAGAGGCCAAACAACAAGACCAGACATGGTATGATCCACGTAGTTAACTTGGATCTCACAGTCAGAAGAAACAGAAAATTTCTAGATAAAAAGGAGTACGTCATTTCCAAAATTTCCTTCAAAGAACAGAAACCATAGCTTCTTTGGAGACAACAAAGTGCCTGAGCTGATGAGATGTAATACAGAATTGTCTTCACAAGTTACCATCAACAGTTAAATAAACCTTACAAAGAAGATGCTTTAACACTCTCACTATGGGCTCAGTCAAATCAGCCAAGTTCATGACCCTAAATTGACCATTATAGGTACCATACTATAACTTCTATGTTTTGTGTATCTTCACAAAATTTGGCAACCTTTCAGTAAGCATTAAGTCTTTTGTATCCAAAAAATTAGAATTTTTAATGAAATATTTTGTTTATGATTTTTTGGTTATTTCAAATGTATATATAAGATCTAAAAAATTATTTCATTTCACAAAATTTGCTAAGGCTTAGCAACCTACAGCAAATAAGTTCAAAGTTCGTAACTAGAAGAGATAATTGTTTCTATAGTTCTTTATTTACTGTTCTATGTTTAAGAAAAATAGCTGAAATTTAAGAACTTATTTGTAAATAGTAATAATGTATATACATATATAATGTATTAAAACTGAAATGTGACTGTATTTTACAAAATACTAGTCCACTAAAACACAGCCAAGACAGGTTACTTGGAAAATGCCAGTTTTATGCTCTTGGATACAGTAACATGAGTGCATATGCACCACATTATTACAACTTCAATAATGTTAGCCAGGCATGGCTGAAGGGTCAATATAATAAAAATAATAAAGATATATAAAGATATAATGTTATGAAATTTAAGCTATTTAGACTAAACATTTGTGTTATAATATGGAGTCATTCTAGAACAAAAGAAGCATAATTTATATTTATTTCCTAATTTCTTATTGAGGTTACAAAGTTGGTCAAATCAAACCAACCCATACAGAGATACATAGTAGGGAAAATAACAGACAAAATAAAAAGTTTTTTTCTAAAAACAATTTTTATAATTATCTGGATGTTATAAAGATTTCGCCTGTGAAATTTGAAAATGTTCTAATGCATAAAAGTATTTTTAATCTTAAAATCAAAATTACTTTGCATGTTGGATAGTCAACAATCTGAAAGAAAAAATTTCACAACAAAATATTTCATTAAAAAGCTTAATACTTAATTTATAAACCTGATATTTTGTATACGAAATCACTGTAATGTTTATCAATAACCTGCAAAATTTTGTGAAGATACACATACATTATCAAAAATTATAGTATAGTTACTCTCACGGATACATTCGTGGTCACGAGCTGGGTGGATTCCACTATAATATAAATAAAAATTTGGAAATTTAAAAATCTACAAATAGGGATCATAAAGAAAGTAAGGAAACAAAGCTGGAGATACTGTAGACATTATTTACTCAATTTAAAAATCTACAAATAGGGATCATAAAGAAAGTAAGGAAACAAAGCTGGAGATACTGTAGACATTATTTACTCAATTTAAAAATCTACAAATAGGGATCATAAAGAAAGTAAGGAAACAAAGCTGGAGATACCGTAGACATTATTTACTCAAACTACAAATAGGGATCATAAAGAAAGTAAGGAAACAAAGCTGGAGATACTGTAGACATTATTTACTCAAACTACAAATCTCTATTTTGATTCCACCAAACGTAATTCTAGGTTACAGCATGGAGCTAAAATAAGGCTTTATAATTTGAAGAAATAATGTCTACAGTATCTCCAGCCTTGTTTACTTTTTTGTGGTCCCTATTTGCAGGTTTTTAAATTCCTAATTTTTGTATTAATCTTGCACACACACACACACACACACACACACACATATATATATATATATATATATA